CCTGGCCCCGGGCAGCGGCAGGTGGAGCGCCTGCCCCGCACTGTGGGGCCGTTACCCCGCACCCATCGAGAACCAGGCCTCGGAGGGGACTCGCTCAAGGTCACAGCCAGCTAAAGGGCAAAGGGGCAAAATCCAGGCTATTGGCTTCCCCCAGCTTCCCTGACACCCGAGCCGGGCCATCCTGGTGAGGCCTCACCTCGGGAGCCTTCTGTTTCCTCCTCTGTGAGCCAGGAATGGTGAAAATTTTGCACAAATGGTAAAAACGATAAAAGGTCTGTGCGAGAACGGCCAGAACTGCCCCCAACAAAGGCTGCACAGGGGTGCGGTGCAGGCAGAAGAGTCCCCCAGGCCGGGTCCAGCCTCTGCGCTCATACCCCGTGTGGCCATTTCATAGATGAGGTAACTGAGGCCCCAGACACTGTGTGACTCACCAGGCCAGTCACATGTCTAGCAGTGTCCAGCCAGTGTTGGCCTCTGCAGTCCTTTCTGGAACACGGCTGGGTACAAGTGACTCATGCTGGGCGGGAGGGGCTGGTCTCCTGGGCCCGGCAGCCCCCTTCCAGCCAAACCCAGGCAGAAGGATGCTCTTCTTTGTGACCCCTTGAGTAGGGGTTGGAGGGAGGAGAGGACCCTGTAGCTTTGCTGGGGACAGGGGCTTGGAGAGGCAATGTGCACGGATGGGGAGTGGCCATGGAGGGCAGGGTGGTGGCCCCAAACCTAGGTGATGTGCAGCATGGTCACCTAGCCCGCAGGGACATGGGTTTTGCTGTTAAGGCTGCGGCCCTTCGCCATTTAATAGCCTTCGCGATTATGGCTGAGTCTTAGGGCAGCCCTGGGAATCGGCATTCATCCTCTCACCTGGCGAGTTCTGTGCTTCCTACGCAGTTTGCTGCACACTCCCTAGACCTTCCGCCCCGGCCCAAGTCTGCGGATAAAGCCACCCCCCAGTGCTCACCCCTCTTAGCATGCCCATGCGGCCACTGCCCTCCTGGTCCCTCGCAGGGCTCCCCTGCTGGCTGCTCGGCTCCCACCTCAGAGTCTTCGACGGAAAGAAGGGAAAGAGCAGAACAGAGGAGCAATCACAGGCGGGTGGGGGGAGGGGTGTATAGGGGTGGTGGTTCTGGCACAGCAGGGATGCTGGTAAGGCAGAGCCAGCTTCATTAGCAGCTTCCGCCCTGATGCCATGCAGTGTGGGCGCAGAGACCCAGTGGCACCTCTGTTCCCTCGGCAGGGGTCCTCTCAACCCTGAGTCCTAGGGTCTGCCACGGATAGAGAGACCATCAGGTCAGGCAGGTGGGTGGTGGGGGCAGGGGCCAGCCTCCCCATTTGCTGCCCGGCTCCAGCGGGTGTCCTGAGCCTGAGAGATGCTGGTTATCAAATGACAGCGACCAGAGTGAGACTTGGGAAACACCAAGTCAGTTTTTTTTTCTTACAGAAGTGAAACCGCTCCTCTTAGACAGTTAGGAAAAACCCAGAAGCAAAAAAAGATAACGGAAACATAAAAAGAAAGAAAACACCTGAGGTTCCACTCCTCAGAGACGCCCTCAGGAACATTTCGCTGGCTCTCTTCTTTCGGTATATGTTTCTGCCAGATTGTTATTCACACGCTGTGGAGTGGTTTGTGAGCGTGTCATTGTACAGGCCTTCACTCTCGTGTGAAGCTTGCTCCCATGAGTAGTGTTGGTACCAGGGCCACCCAGCCTCCTCTCCGCACACAGGCATTGGGACCAGGCTGGTAGAGGGATGGGCATCTGACCCCACCTTTGGGATGGGCGAGACTTTCCCTATTGCCAAAGCTGTGGAGTTTCCGTGTCACTCTGCTGCATGCCACGATGCCCTCTGCACGTCCACCGCCGCCACGAGGTGCCAGGGCCACTCTCGCACCTGGATCCTGGTTCTCCCCCGCATCGTCCCTTGCCCCTCAGAACTGGGCCGATCTTTGGCAATGACCCTCTCCTCATTCACCTCGCGCACCTTCTGGGGCTGCCCCAGCAGGACGGAAGCAGGCAGGGCCAGAGGGAGGGCAGAAGGGAGGCACGGAAGCACGTAGAGTGACAAGCACGGCCAGGCACTTTGAAAATCCTCCTCCGGGTGCTGGGACTCAGAGCTGCTGAGGAAGAGGTTGGGGAGGAGACTGGTCAGGAGACAGGCAGCAAGGCAGCCTCTCCTTGGCAGGTGTGGGGCTAGAGAAGAGGAGCCGGACCCAGGGAACGCGGGAGGTGGAAAGGACAGGGCTTGACCCCAGGCAGGTCCAGAAGGATGCCCATTTGTGGCGGCGGATGTGGGAGTGGACACAGCTAGTTTGGGCCATGAAGCCTTTGAAGAGCTCTGGGGGAAACCCTGAGACACTGTTGAACCTGAGGGAGGGCATTGAGCTTGAGTAAGAGGGTAAATGAGGGCTCGGAGGTGGGTGTGGGTGCTGAGGGAGCCGGCTGCTGTGGGAAGGGGCTCAGCCCTGGCGGCAGCCCAGGGACTCCGGACCTTAAGAACACAGAACCTGTGTGCCAGCTCACGGAACCTCTGGCATCAGCATTGTTCCCCAGGGGAATGCTCAAGCCGGGCTGGTTCCGTCCCTGCCCAGGGATGCAGTCTGTCAGCGGCACTCCTGGCAGTGGCAGTGCAGCTCGGTGGCTTGGCCTCATGTGTGGAGCACATCTGCCACGTGACCGTGATCCAAGGATCTGCTTGCCAGATCACAAGCAGGGCCCCACGCTTGGTACAGTGCGGGATGGGGCTTTTAGGTCCCTGCCCTCACACATGCCAGCCTCCCCCCACGCCCCACGGTGCTCCCAGCTGTTGCCCACCCTCCCCAGGAGGATGCCCCGGGGTCCCCTCAGTAGAGGAGCCAGCTGAGGTGCAGTGAGGGTGGCAGCTGGAGCCCTCGGGACAGCACCTAGGGCTGTGATGGAGTCAGGGGTTTAAGCAAGGTGCAAGACAGGTGACAAATGATGTACAGATGAGCCCTGAGCCCCAGATGGTGCTGGGCTGGACACTGCCCATGGCTCCTCCTCTCTTTTCCTCTGCTTCAAGCGTAGACCCCCCTCTCTGGCTGGCCAGGGGGTGCAATGGGGCCTGAATTGTAGTGTATGCCCCCTTCTGTGCTATGAACACCTCTACCTGAGCTCGCTTCAGGCTGACAATGTGATGTTAACCAGTTCACAGAATTCCTGAAAATGTAGCAGTCAGCACTCGTGAGCTGGGACGGGATAGCCCAGGCACATGTGTGGAGACGTCTGATGTATGTGTACATTCAGTGGTTTTTTAGTACATTCACCAGGTTATGCAGCCATCACCACTAATTCTGGGACATTTTCATCACCCTCCCAAATAAACCCATTTGCAGCCAATCCTCATTCTCCCCTCCCCAGCCCCCAGCAATCACGAATCTGCTTTCTGTCTCTACAGATTTGCCTTTTCTGGACATTTCATAGAAATGGAACCATACATAATGTGGCTTTTTTTTTTTTTTGGTCTGGCTTCTTTCCGTTAGCATAAAGTTTTGAGGGTTCATTGATGCTGTTATACTTTGTTCCTTTTTTTGGCCAAATCACATTCCACTGTATGGATGTACCACATTTTGTCTACGTGTTCATCTGTGGAGGACATTTGAATTGTTTTCACTTTTGGCTTTTTTTGTTTTTTAAACAGAGGTACTGGGAATTGAACCTAGGACCTTGTGCATGCTAGGCATGCACTGTACCACGGAGCTATACCCTCCCCGCCTCCACTTTTGGCTCTTATGAATAACACTGCTGTGAACATCCCTGTATATATTTCCTACTTTCTGGAGCACATACCTCAGGGTGGAGTTGCTGGTTCCCATGGTAACTCTATGTTCAACTTTTTGAGGAACTACCAAGCTGTTTTCCAAGGAACTGCACAATTTCCACATTCCCACCAGGAATTCTCACTAACGTGTATTATCTGCTTTAGTAGGTGTAAAGTGGTATCACATTATGTTTTGATTTTTATTTCCCTAGTGACATGTGATGCTGGATGCCTTTTCCTGTGCTTATTAGCCACTTGTATATCTTTTCTTGGAGAAATGTCTATTCTAATTCTGTGCCCATTTTTAAATTAGGTTGTCTTTTTCTTGTTGGATTCTAAGAGTTCCTTATGCATTCTGAATACTAGATACTTATCAGATACATGATTTGCAAATATTTTCTCCTGTGGATTGTCTTTAGCTTTCTGGATCGTGTCCTTCAATGTACAGAAGTTTTAAATTTTGATGAAGTCCAATTTACCTATTTAGTTTTGATTGCTTGAGATTTTGGTGTCATATCTAAGAATCTTACCTAATACAAGGTCATGAAGATGACCTATGTTTACACCTATGGTTTTTTCTAGGAGTTTTATAGTTTTAGCTCGTACATTTTGGTTTTCAATCCATTATGAGTCAGTTTTTACATAGGACCTGATGTAGAGGTTTAAAGTTACTCATTTGCACGTGGCTGTTCAGTAGTACTAGCCTCATTTGTTGACAAGGCTATTCGTTCCTCATTGAATTGTCTTGGCAGACTTGTCAAAAGTCAGTTGACCATGGATGTGTGGAATTACTTCTGGACTCTATCCTATTCCATTGATGTATGTGTCTGTCCTTACGCCAGTACCATATTGTTTTGATTACTGTAACTCTGTAGTAAGTTTTGAAATTGGGAAATGTGAGTCCTCTGACTTTGTTCTTTGTTTTTAAGTTGTTTTGAACAATTATTTGGAGTCCCTTGCATTTATTTCCATATGAGGTTTAGGATCAGTTTGCCTATTTCTGCAAAAAAGGCAGTTGAAATTTTGATAGGAATTGTGTTGAATTTGTAGGTCATTTGGGGAGGAAAGGTATTGCCATTTTAATATTGAGTTTTCTAAGCCTTGAACATCGGATGTCTTTCTATTTATCTAGGTCTTTAATTTCTTTCAATGATGTTTTGTAGTTTTCATTGTGTAACACTTACACTTATTCAGTTAAATTTATTTCTAAGTATTTATTCTTTTGATGCTATTGTAAATGGAATTGTGTTATTAATTTTGTATTCAGATTGCTCATTGCTAGTGATTTTTGTATATTGTCCTTTTATCCAGCAACCTTGCTGAACTCATTTACCAGTGTAATGGGAGGGCTCTTTAGGGTTTTCTGTATATCAGCATATGTGATGCACAGTTTGAGATAGTTTTACTTCTACTCTTCCAATCTAGATACCTTTTATTTTCTTTTCTTGCCTAGTTGTCTTCACTGGAACCTCCAGTGCAATGTTGAAAAGAAATGGCAAGGCTAGGGGAAGAGGGTGTAGCTCAAGTGGTAGAGCACATGCTTAGCATACCCAGGGTCTTGGGTTCAATCCCCAGTACCTCCTCTAAAAATAAGTAAATAAGTAAACCTAACTGCCTCCCCCCACCCCCCAAAAATACAATTAAAAAAAAGAAATGGCAAGGCTAGACATCTTCTCTTGTTCCTCACCTAGGAGGGAAAACGTTTAGGTTTTTTTTCACCATTACGTATGATGTTAGCTCTGGGTTTTTATGAAGTTGAAGAAGTTTCCTTCTATTCCTAGATTGTTGAATGTTTGTTTGTTTTATCATGAAAGGGGATGGATTTTGTCAAGTGCATTTTCTGCATTCATTGAGATGATCATGTGGTGTTTCCCTTTATTCTAGTGATACTTTTCTTTCTTTGGTTTTGATATCAGGGTAATACTGGCCTCATGGAATGAGTTCAGAAGTGTTTCCTCTTGACTGATTTTTGGAAAGATTTTGTGAAGGATTGGTGATAATTCTACTTAAACATCTGGTGGAATTTGCCAATAAAACCACCTGGTCCTGGAATCTCTCTTGTGTGAAGTTTTTTGATTACTAACCCAGCACATGCTACTGGTCTATTTGGATTTTCTGCCTCTTCTTGAGTCAGTTTTGGTAATTTGTGTCTTTCTAGGAATTGGTCCATTTCAACTAGGCTAGTTAATGTGTTGGCATACAATTGTTCATAGTATATCCTGTTAATCCTTTAAATTTCTCTAAGTTCAGTCTCTTCTTTCACTTCTGAT